GGCGTCACCATCTCTCAGTTCCGCCCAGGCCCAGCCGGGCTTTCTCTGCCAGCAGGGGAGCTCCAGGTGCCCAGAGTCCTGGGCAGGGAATCCCTGGCTGCACCTCAGATGGTTGACAGCAGGGGGGCAGTGCTGGGGTGCTCACCTGTTACCTGTAGTGGGCTGAAGGCTCTGGCTCTCCATCCTTTGCCCAGGTTTCTTCTCGGGGGAAGAGCTGTGTGGCCTTTGGCGTGGGCCTTTGTGTGGCTCTTTCTGGGGGCGATTAGAGAGTGGTTGGGACTCACCGGGAAGAGGGCGTGGGTCTGGGCTGCCCTGGGTAGGAATGGAGCAGTAAGGAACGTACAGCTTCTCCGGGATAGAGCTCTTCCACCCTCACTCGGTGCTACCAGTTCCAGGTCTTTTGTTTTCTTTCTCCTCCAGGGCCACAATGGCAGCCACAGTCAGACGGCAGAGGCCACGGAGGCCAGCCTGTTGGGTCTTGGTGACTGTGCTCTTGGCAGACCTGTTGGCACTGAGTGGTACGTACACCCCCACGCCCCCCCACCAAGGCTGGAGAAGAATAAGTGATGGGAATAAATAGTTGGAAGGGAGAATGAGTGAGGCTCTTTAGCTGGGACACTCTTGAGTTGCTGCACCCAAGATTTTCTTCTATGATGTCTGCTATTTTTCTTTTCCGTAAGGCGTGTTAGTGCTTTGATCAGGAAATCGCAGGAAGAGCAAGGATCAATTGACCAACCTCTTTCCTCCTCAGAGACGCTGGCAGTCATGTCTGTGGACTTGGGCAGCGAGTCCATGAAGGTGGCCATCGTCAAGCCTGGAGTGCCCATGGAAATTGTCTTGAACAAGTGAGGCTGGCCCCATAGTGGGTAGGCGTGTGAGCTTCGTGCCCATAGCAGACACTGGTATCTGAGTGATTGGCACAGGGGTACTGAGGCTCCTGGGTCTTCATCCTTCCGCAGGCACTTGAACTTGCCCTTTTGCTCACCTGATCCCGTTGTCTTTTCCTCAGGGAATCGCGGAGGAAAACCCCAGTAACTGTAACCCTGAAAGAAAATGAAAGGTTTCTTGGCGACAGTGCAGCAAGCATGGTGAGTGCTGGGCAGAGCAAGGGACATTCCACACGCCCCCATCGTCTCCCTGTCGATCTTGTGGGAGGTGTTGGAGGTGTCAGATGGTGGGCTCGATAGCCTAATACTCGGCTCTTTCTTCACCTCCTCTCAGGCCATCAAGAATCCAAAGGCTACACTGCGTTACTTCCAGCCCCTCCTAGGGAAGCAAGCAGATAACCCCCACGTGGCCCTTTACCGGGCCCGGTTCCCTGAGCACGAGCTGGCTGTGGACCCACAGAGGCAGACTGTGCACTTCCAGATGAGCCCGTGAGTGCCCTTCCCGGGGGTGGCTCCCCATGGGCATTGTCCCGTGTTTGTCCTGCTTTGGTGTCTGGCTGGCCTCGCCTCTAACTCACCAGCTCTCTCCCCTCCTCCTCACCCCCGTCGCACACCCTGTAGGCAGCTGCAGTTCTCACCTGAGGAGGTGCTGGCCATGATTCTCAATTACTCCCGTTCCCTGGCTGAAGATTTTGCAGGTAAGAGACCCCATGGTGGGGCCAGTGGAGGGCAGGCTCCCCGAGGTCTAAGGCAGTGGTTCTCACACGGGAGCAATTTTGCCTGCCGGGGAGCATTTGGGAATGTGTGGAGGCGTCTGTTGTAAAGCCCTACTGGTGCAGTAGGGTACACGGAATTCCGGCATCTTGGAACCCCGCAGCAGTTCTGCTGTAGGGAGAGGAGCAGCCCGAGGGAGCAGTTCCCTCTGTCCTGTCAGAATTGACCCTGAAGGCCGTGGGTGGGGTTTGGAGACATGCTGGGGCATCAAGTTGGCGAGGTAGCGATAGTAACTAGTGAGCAGAGGCCAGAGGTTCTGTTAAGCACCCGACAATGCTCGGGGCAGCTTTCTGTGCATCCAAGAATGATCCGCTGAAAACGCCCTCCTCTAAGATGCAGAGCTGCGAGAGGCCTGTTGTGTTGTCCTCTGCAGAGCAGCCCATCAAGGACGCAGTGATCACTGTGCCAGCCTTCTTCAACCAGGCTGAGCGCCGGGCCGTTCTGCAGGCGGCCCGCATGGCCGGCCTCAAGGTGCTGCAGCTCATCAACGACAACACCGCCACCGCGCTCAGCTACGGCGTCTTCCGCAGGAAGGATATCAATGCCACCGCCCAGGTGAGCCAGCAAGCCCTGCCCAGACGCATGGGGAGCCGTATCTGGGCACACTCAAGCCCCCCGCCTGGTTTTGCATCTTGTTGGCACTCACTGGTCCTCGGCAATGCGCAGCTGGGCGGCGCAGGCAGGTAGGCAGGCACGCCCCTTGGAGCGGGGTGAGGCTCCTGTGACCTCTGCTTGGTTTTTCTACAGAATGTCATGTTCTACGACATGGGCTCAGGCAGCACCGTGTGCACCATTGTCACCTACCAGACAGTGAAGACCAAGGAGGCAGGGCTGCAGCCTCAGCTGCAGATCCGGGGAGTGGGGTAAGTGGGCCTGGGAGCGGGGCGGAGGGCTCTTCCTGTGAGTGAAGGCCACTGTGGGCCCCACTCCCAAAGAGCAAGGGCAACACGGGCATGAAAGAAAGGAGCTCCCTCAACGTACCTTCTCCTAAAGAGGTCGAGGAGGCGGCACGCTGTATGCAGTGTATCACGGTCATCTGTTTCCCTCCTGTTCATCGATAACTATGAATCTGCGCCCTTGTTTAAGTTCTTATTGTGCAATAGGGGAAGGTGGACAGAGCAGGGCGTAGGTTTTAATCACTGATGCATGTGCAGTCTGGTTTCATTCACTGTAGTCCCTTTGCTGTGACGTCACTCTGCCCAGCTCCTCCCTGGGTGTTCTCTCAGATCCTCCTCCTGCCCAAACACTTCTGAACTTTGGTCTTGGGTAAATGCCACCCCCTGGATTCCAAATGGCTGAGGATTCTAAGGCGTGCGCACACCTGGTAGGGCTCCTGCTCCCCCGAGAGCCCTGTCTCTGATGTAGCTGAAGGGGGAGCCAGAGGCCTGAGTTAGTTCCAGACTCGAAGGGGGACCTGGGCTTCCACTAGTCTTTGTCCGATCAGCCAGCCTGGGCACTTGCATGGAGTTGTGAGTTTTGTTACCCACTCCTCTCCCACTCTGTCCAGGAGCTTCTCCTGCGATCCTTTTCAGAGCAGGTGGGAGCCAGGTACCATCGAGTTATGATCTCAGGTTGTGGGCTGACGCCCATGTGGTCTATTGAGTCCCCACGCCTCCATTGTTGGCTTTCTTCTTTCCTCTGACCGCGTGGGGAGACAGCAGTCACCGCGCTTCTGTCTTATGCTTGAACCCATTCTTTTCCATCTGACTCTAGGAGCGCTGGTGTCACAGTGGGATAAGCACTGGGCTGGTGACCCAAACCTTGGCAGTCCTAGCCCACTTCTGCACAGACAGAATGAGGGGGCTGCCTGCACCTGTCCCTAGTGACCACTGTAGAGACACTGCAGCAGTTCCACTCTGCCCTGCAGACTCGCTGTGAGTCAGAGGCGACTCGGCCGCAGTGGCTTTGGGTTAGGTCTCACCGCTGCGACCCTGGTCCAAGTTGGGAGCACGCCTTCAACTGCAGACTTGCCAGAGAGCTGCCTGCTGCCAGAGTGGCCCCTCCCAGTTCTCTCTCCCCTCTGCAGTCAGTTCTTTTCAAAAGGCCCATTGCATTGTGACCACCTTTTGGTGGTTCCAAGCTTTACCATGGCCCTCTCTGGCCCGGACTCCTCCCTGTGCAGCTTCTCTCTAACGCTGAGCCTCCTGCTCTCTGAGCTCTAACAGTCCCGCCCCACCCCCACCCCACCCCCGGCAAATAACTCAGCTTGATCCTTCCCACTTCACGGCCTAGTGTGTTCTGTTCATTTCCACCTTGATAACTCGCTGACTGGCCCATCGGGGTTCAGGTCAAGGATTACTTCTTCAGGGAAGCATTTCTGGATGTCCCTGAGTAGCTCAAGTTTCCCGTGGATAGGTTCTAATAGCATCACTTCTCTCTCCCTTATACCAGCTGGGGTGGTTATAATTTCGCATTGTTTTGGAGCATTAGTTGTAAACTTTTGGGAATGTAGGCAGGCCTTTTGTTGTTCCCTGTTTCGTCGCTAGCAGCTGCTCAGTGGGTTGTGTTGATGGTGGGGGGAAGGATTGTCAGAGTGAGGGGTCAGTTAAGGGGGCAGAGGCTGTGTTCACACCTGGGGTGCTGAGGGTAAATGGGCTCCCCTGAAGCAAAGCAAAGGTGCCCTCAGGCTCCTTTACTGATGAAGGGACCCCATCCATGTGTCCCTTACCCCTTTCCCTGTGCAGGTTTTTTTTAATTTTTTTTAATCATTTTATTGGGAGCTCATACAACTCTTATCACAATCCATACATACATCCATTGTGCCAGCACATTTGTACATTTGTTGCCATCATTCTCAAAATATTTGCTTTCTGCTTGAGCTCTTGGTATCAGTTCCTCATTTTTCCCCTCCCCACTCCCTTAAGAACCCTTGATAATTTATGTTATTTTGTCATATCTTACCCACTCTCTTCACCCACTTTTCTGTTGTCCATTCTCTAGGGAGGAGGCTATATGTAGATCCTTGTAATCGGTTCCCCCTTTCCATCCCACCCTCCCTCTACCCTCCTGATATCACCACTCTCACCATTGGTCCTGAAGGGATCATCCGCCCTGGATTCCCTGTGTTTCTAGTTCCTATCTGTACCAGTGTACATCCTCTGGTCTAGCCAGACTTGTAAGGTAGAATTGGTATCATAATGGTGGGGGGGAGGAGCATTTAGGAACTAGAGGAAAGCTGTATATTTCATCGTTGCTACACAGCACCCTGACTGGTTTGTCTCCTCCCTGCGACCCTTCTGTAAGGGGATGTCCAGTTGCCTACAGATGGGTCTTGGGTCCCCAATCGGTACTCTCCCTCATTCACAATGCTTTGATATTTTGTTCTTGATGCCCGATAACCTGATCCCTTCAACACCTTGTGATCACACAGGCTGATGTGCTTCTTCCATGTGGGCTTTGTTGCTTCTGAGTTAGATGTCCGCTTGTTTACTTTCAAGCCTTTAAGACTCCAGATGCTATATCTTTTGATAGCCGGGCACCATCAGCTTTTTTCACCACATTTGCTTATGCACCTGCTGTGTCTTCAGCAATTGTGTCGGGAAGGTGAGCATCATGGAATGCTGGGGTAATAGAACAAAGTATTCTTGCATTGAGGGAGTACTTGAGTGGAGGCCCAATGTCCATCTGCTACTTTCATACTAAACCTATGCACATAGATCTGTTTCCCTATGCTCATATGTAAGTATATTTACATATGTACATGCTTGTATTTAGACCTCTATAAATGTTCTTTGCCTCCAGTTCTTTCCTCTATTTCCTTTTACTTTCCTTTGGGCCCACTATCATGCTCAGCCTTCATTTGGGTTTCAGTAATTCCTCTCGGTTTACTTTCAAGCCTTGAAGACTCCAGACGCTATATCTTTTGATAGCCGGGCACCATCAGCTTTCTTCACCACATTACTC